CCCGCGCGGGGCGGGGCGGGCCCGAGGGGCCCAGCCCGGGGCCTGGCGGCCGCCCTTCCTCTCCCCTCCCCTCCTCTCCCCGGCCCGGCCCGGCCTCTCCCGGCTGCTATATAGCGCGCGGGCCGCGCCGCGCCGTGCCGCGCTGTCCCGTCCCGTCCCGTCTGCCCGCGCCGTCAGGGGAAGGCAGCGGCACCAGGCAGCCCAGCATGGCACCGGTCGGAGGGACCCCCAAGCCGCCCAAGAAGGTAACCCGCTCCCTGCAGCCCCCGGCCCCACAGCCGGAGCCCGGGGGAGGGCGCGGGGAGCTGGCGGGAGCCGCCCCGGCAGTGAGCTGCGGCTGCGAGGAGCACGGACAAACGCCAGGCCTTTGTTGCCTGCTGTCAGGGGGCGGCCACGGGAAGAGGCTGTTTATCATCGGTCCTTTAAATATCCCGGAGACCTGGCACCTTCCCGTGTCCTCCTTCGGCCACAATTTCAATTCAGTAGTGCCTGGCTCCAGCTTCCTAGCGGAAAGGCTGAAATCGGGCCTCCCTTTTGGGGGACAAGTGAACTCCTGTGGGCTGGGCAGCCAGCCGAGCTCTCCGTGGTGGGTGGTGAAGCTGGGATGGTCCAGAAGCTGCACAAGCCCAGGATGTCTCACTGATCCTCTGGTGGGTGGATATCTGGTGGTTGCTCCTGAAACATCAAGGTTTCATTCAAAGGTTTGTTTCAGTAAGATGGAATGGGGCTATCCTGGTGTCTTTGTTCAGCTGAGTGAAAGTACCAGGATGCCTTAGGGTGATTTCTTTTATTGGACCAACTGTGTTGGTGGGATAAAGTTAGACAAGCTTTTGAATACAAGACTTTCTTCCTCGGGTGGAGCCTGGAGCCCTGCTCTTGCCTTCTCCCTTTGTAAGGTTGTGATGAGCCTTTGCTTGAGTCTGAGCAAGAATGACATACAATGGAAAGGTCGTCTCACTTCATCCCACCTAGGTAGTTGCTTCAATAAGAGATCACCCTAAGGCATCTTGGTAGTCTCACTTGGTTGAACAAAGGCACCAGGATAGCCTATCTGAATGAAAACCTGATGTTTCAGGAGTAACCGCCAGACATCTACCCATGAGAGGCTCAGTGACTGCATGCTGTATCCTTTTTAGAAGGCTGTTATCATCATTTAATATTGCACTTCTGTGTGAAAATAAGTTGAGTGTAAATTAAGTGATTAAAAAGGAAAATATTTACTGCAGTTTTCAAATTTGCTTTATGTGAAACACTTTGCCTTGGATCCTATTCTGTCTCTACAGCACCTAAATGGAACTTAGGCAGCTTTCAGCATCCAAGTCTCTTAAGTGCAATCCTATTCCATCTTGCTTTACTCTCTTCAAAAAGTTGATATGACCATTTTTGTGATGTGCCTTTGCCATTTGGTGAAGTGAGTAATGCATCTTGCTATCAAGTGGATTTTCACTGTGGAGCACTTCTTGGCCAACAGTTCTGGTCAAGAGGGCAGAAAGTTTTTAGGTAAAAAGTGAATGCCAAACTCCTAGATGACATATGGGATTTCATGAGTGAACAGACTGTTGGTAACTCTTTTCCACAGTGGGATAAGCCCACAGCCACTCTTAGGATTGAAAGGTACAGAGGATAGGATGCAAACAGGATTTAGACTAAAGACCATGAATAGAAAGCTGAAAATGTGATCACCTTCTTATCCCTTTACACTGGGGGTGGGAGAAGCTTTACGCTCTGTGCTAAATCTGAAGCTTTTCCCAGTAGGCTATTGGATTTGCTGAGTACCTAAATTATAGGCCCTCCTAATTCCAAAGGTATTTTAAAACATTTCCCACTTCCCTGGAGACTAGTGTACTTGCCAAGCTATGGACTAGGCAGGGCAGATAGATAGTAGCTTCAGTTGTCTCCTTGGTGGAGCTGGGGTCACCAGGTGAAAAGGTAAAGAATAACAGCCCCAGGAGAGCAAGCAGGAGGGACTAACTCAAGGGTGGGCAAAATGCAGCCCAGGGGCTGGATGCAGCCCACCAGGCCATTCTATCTGGCCCGCAGGGCCACTAAAAAATTTGGAAAAGTAATATTTATCTGCCCTGGGCTGCCTGTCATGTGGCCCTCAATGGCTTGCCAAAACTCAGTAAGCGGCCCTCTGCCCAAAATAATTTCCTGCCCCTGGACTAACTGTAGTCCAGTGAGGATGGTTCTTGCCTGGGATGGAGAGGACCTGGGGTTCTGCTCCCAGTGCTATTCATCCATTTATCCATTGCAAAATAGTCAGAGGCCTTGGGGGAGGGGGGACGTTCTAAAGTAATCTAACAGGAGGATTATAGCCAAGAAACTGGCTTTAGATTAATTTAGTGACTATCATGTTCTGTTACTGTTCACATTACATAAAAATGGGAATTGTCATCTTTTATATCTGATCAGTTCGAGGCTGAATTTAGCAGAATGAATCATGACAGATGATTATTTATTTTGTTTTATTCTTTGTAACTTGGTACTTTTCAAAATTTTGGGCTATTCAAATTGGGCGAGATTTTTTCTTTCTTCCTGTCTTTTTACAGTTCTGACTAGACTCAACCAAGTGAAACCGGCTTGTGGAAAAAGCTAGGATAGATTTGAACAATTTGGAAATGTCTCATTTGCCCCCAAAATGCTACATGCATGGTCTTTTAGCTGTGGATTGGCACTTCAGTTGTGCCTTTTTTCTTTTCTTTTTTTGCCAGAAGCTTCTTGTGTTGTCACTGCCTAGGTCACTATTGCAGCTAACGTACAGATAAGTTAATAAAGAAGTCTGTGGGCATGGTCAAAGGTACATTTTTAGCAGCTTGAAAAGGGAACCGAGATCTGCTGCTCAGGATTGCAACAGCTGTTACACTAGTCATGCAAGTGAGCTAAATTGCCCCAGCTGTGACCCTGAAGAGATTTGCTACACTTCATATGTCTACAGGCTCATACACATGTAACCTAGACTGGGGTGGCATGGGTGCTAAAGCATATGGTTGATAGCCCCAAAGTTGTAAGTTTGAGGCTATGCTAGCAGTGCAGCCCTGTCAGACTCCAATGAATCTGTGAATTCTGCTAAATACCTATGACAAGAGCATGAAAAAGAAAAGACATAGATATAGCAGCTGCTGCACATTCCCCAGCAGTAGCTACTTTCTTTCTCCCCCCAACCTTTCCTTTTGAAGCCACTTATAATGTATGCTTGTTCATATCCTAAGACACTTCTTTGCTAAATATTTTTAAAGAAGCACAGATCATACAAAAACAATGGGAAACATAGTGGGAGTTCTGCAATGTTCTTTCATCAGAAGAGAAATGGTCCTTAGCTTTCTGTTCTGGGTCACTTGTATTTTCATTGCAATAAAATTGTGATGAGTGGGGGCGAATTAGCACATGGATCCTTTCCGGTGGAGTATCTGGAGAACACATACATACTGAGCAGTGCTGAACTGTGCATCATCATGGTTTAAAATGCTGTTGACTTCATTGTGGCCCCAGCCCAATGAACTATGTTGTAAATTATGAGCCTTTGACTTTGGACTAATATCGTCTATAGTTTGCTATTTTTAAGTAGGTGCCAAAGTGTTGCGTAAAGGTGTGTTTATGTAGTACCTGTGCTAAAACTCGCAACAGTTTCAAACAAAGGTAATGTGAATCAATTCTGGATGAAAGAAGTGTACGGGTATTGTATGCAAATTGCTACAGCCATGATTGATTTCAAGGTTATTGTTTTCAAATTTGCTCCTCACTTCCATGTGTTGAGGGAGAGCAGGGTCTGACAGTAAGGGAGGAGAAAGGGGCTGGCAGGGAGAAAAGTTGGGAGGAAGAGAGCAAAGTAACTACCCGACCCCTCCACCTCTGATTAATTTTGTGCTATAGCAGTGGGAAGGGGACAAATTCAAGGAAAACCTCTAATAATTAGATTCTATGCCTGGAATATTATAACAAATTTATAAAATTTTTATATATAGAATCTAATTATTGGAGGGTCATCTTATAATCAGGTTCATTCTCTATTTGAGTAAATACAGTATTATTTGGGACAACCCCTTGCATATACTCAACTTTTTCCAAACAGAGTAAGACCAAGAAGTATACAGTCAATAAAATGAGATAACTAGAGTTCATCAAACTTTCTTTTCCCTTTAGGGTATCCTAGAGCGTCTAGATTCTGGAGAAATTGTGATTGGAGATGGAGGATTTGTCATTGCCCTTGAAAAGAGGGGTTATGTAAAAGCTGGGCCTTGGACTCCAGAAGCTGCAGTAGAACACCCAGAAGCAGGTCAGTTTTAACAGGAAACTGTAATCATTTGGAGAATGTAAGCGTCTTCACTTACATAAAAACAACAAACAAAACTATTTACCTTTAAGGCAATATGGAACTCATAAAATAGCTGGAGCAAGATAAAGGTGCATATAGGTCTCATAGCTGTTTGGTTGTTTCAACACTTTTGTTTAAAAACTTATTAAGGGTTTTATATCCATATCCATGTGTATATATATCTTTTAAAGGACCTTAGTAGGTTTTAAACAGAAGTATTGAAACATGCTTGGCTATTGGAGGTCTGTGCAACTTTTACCTTGTTCCAGCTATTTTATGAGTTCCATAGTGCCTTAAAGGTAAATAGTTTTGTTTGTTATTTTAATTCCCTTCTTAGGTTTACTAGCCTTTTTTTTTAATTTACCCACCTACATTAGCTCCTCCATTATATGAACCATACACTTGGCTAGAAATGCCAAAACCATAATCAAAGAGCACAGAAGGCCATCAACCATCATTCTGATAGAACAAGTCAGATAGTATCAGTGGCATGTAATAAAATGGCTGTTGCCTGATCAACCCTGTTAGCAAATGTTGTAACTCTGCAGGGAGAGGCTAAATCAGCCATACTGAGTCATTGTCCCAAGAGCAGCTCTTGCCCATTTAGGATATAAAAGAAATTGGAGGAACCTCTTGGGTCTGTAGAATCTAGATGCTGGAGGTCAGCCATTCTCTCACAAACCTTAGGACCAGCCAAGCCCAAAGAAGGTGTGGCTAGAGCAGAGGTGGGCAATTATTTGGGCCTGGGGACCACATAGGGAGTTTTGATGAGTTGTGGAAGGCTAGGTTAGCACTCCACCCTCCCACCCACCGCAACAGCTCACCAAAACTCGTTATGTGGGATGAGGCTGCAGGTAGGTGGGGAGCAGTGTTTAGGAGTGATCCGGATAAGGCCAGGATCATGGGGCTGGGGCCCAGGGCAGAGCCGCAATCTGTTCCCTCCCCTGCAGGAGTGGGGTGGGGGTGCTAGCTCCCAGCTGGGGGTAAGGAGATGGAGGAGGGGGTAGGGGATGCATGCAGCAGAGCTCAACAGGACGACGCAATCTCTGGTTGCTCCCTCTGCCCCCTCCCTGGCACTCTGCATAGGGTCGAGCCCCACCCAGCACAGCCTGTACCTTGTTTTGGCCCGCACCTGCCGGCCTGGCCCCAGCCAGTGTGCACAGCTTACCAGAAGGGCTGCTCCCACTGCCTGGATGCTGCTTGGTTCTCCTCACCTCCAGCAGTGACTTCTCCTCCTGTTTCTGCTGCATCGTGCTGGGCAGGTGGAGTGGCTAGAAGGCAGCCATGAACTGGAGCAGAAGCTGCCTGAGGCAGGAGCTGCCTGGCTAAAGATCCCCCCTCTCCCTCCCCCCACACCCCCAAGTGGTGCAGCCGGAGGCGGAGCTGTCCCTGGAGGCGAGAGGAGCCAAGCAGCACCCAGGCAGTTGCAGTGATGAAAGGAACAGCCCCATCAGTAAGCTGTGATGCTGACTAGGGCTGGACCAGTGGGTGTGGACTCCCCCATGCAGGGCTGGTGGCCTCATGTGGAGCACTGTGGCACTGTGGGGACAGCCACAGTCTGGATCCAGTCAGTTGGTGGGTGCCCCCCACAGGCTGGATACAATCGGTTGGCAAGCCAGGTCCAGCCTGTAGCCCATATCTGCAGGCCATTCAGGTCATTTTGCCCACCCCTAGACTAGAATTTGTGTCGGCATTGTTAAAAAGTTAAATGAAGGAGGTGAGTTTGAAACTGCACAGCATGTGTTGACTGTTTTTGGAGAGGGGCACAAATGCCACCTTTTCAAAGAGAGAACAGTGCTTATTTTAGCTCCGAGGGCTATAAACATTCTACAGTGATGGGCACCACACCAGTAGAAAATGGGCGAATTGCCACACAAAGCAGAAGGAGGGTCTGTAAGCAGAGCTAACCTAAAACCAACATTCTTACACACCAGCCTTTTAAGCAAAATCACTGTGTTCTAAGCAGCACTGCCAGTGATCTGTTAGGGAAATTTTTGAGAGATACACAAGTTATTAGGTACTAGAATTATATTGCAATGGCCCTTTGGTTGAGTGGAATAACCTTATTTTAAAGATATTTTGCAGGCTGCCTGCACCTGGAATATTTTGATTCTGCTCAGTGAGACTCAGCTACCAATATCAAATTTCATGCAGGATTCTGATAACTTCTAGAACTGTTCAGTTGAGCAACAGTTTACCTTCCTGACTAACTCTTGTGTAATAGCTGGCCTAAGCAACATTGTATTTGACCACCCAGCTTGTTTACCCAAGAGTATGATTAGAAATAAAGGCTATCACAGCAGAGGTCCAGTTTTTTTTATGATAGCACTTCCCTCTACTGGATGGAATCAAACTTACTTGTGTATATAGATTCATTATAATGACCTTATGTCTTGGAGGTGAACCTGATGGTTATATTGAGCCAAACCCTGCAGGACTTGGCCCAACATAATCAGGCACTTTTACACATGCTCCAGGGGTGGGCAAGTACTGTTAATTAAAGCAGTTCTGAGAGTTGCTCTAATTAAAGCACCCAGAGCATGCTGATTACCATGCCTCAGCAGACTCAATTAATTGAGTCTGCTCTGAGGTGCTGCAATTACAGTGTGTCAGAGCAGCCTTCTTGCCTGTCTACAGGCACCCATTATGTCCACTTCATGGAGCAAGTGAAATCTGTGTTTCAGTTTTAAGCTCCATGGGGCAAGACCTCTCTCTTCATTAAATATATGGAGATGAGCAAAATGAGGTCTTCATCTTTGTTTAGGCCAGTGATTCTCAACCAGGGTAATGCAGATGCCTGGGATGCCTTGAGATCCTTTCAAGGGTGATGTAGAGTGCCACACAATGTTAGCACTGTTAGGTGTGTAAACATGATTTGCACAATAAACCCAGAGATTTTAAATAGGAGTCCACAGTGTTAAAATCTTCTCACCTGTTATGGGCATTCTTAGTTCTTTGCAATAGAAGAATTGTTTTCTATTATTTTTCTATAGTTGAAAAAAATGAATGAAAACTAGGAGCTTGCATTTTCTGAGGGGTACCTTGTGTTTAGCTTTTGGTCTGTTATTTCCAAGATGGGTATCTATCCCTATGTTTGTTTTCATAGGCTAGAATAGTTCCTTTGCCATCTTTATGCACAATCTTTTAAGCAGCTGCTTTTTGTTCCTCTCACTGATCCCAGCATTCGCTTTCTTACGATACTTTCTCTTGTTTTTCCCATATTTGCAGCCATTCTGCAAAGTGAAATTTGAGAGGTCAGCCATATTGGCAACAAAGGACAGGCAAGGTGCCAAAGGCACAGCAAGTGAGCTTATAGGCAGGGTTACTGTAGTACACAGGACTAAATAACCTCCTGAAGTCACTTTTTTCTGTGATTCTATGATTTGTCTACTACCCATACAAGTAGGAATAAGGAGGCAGGCTTGTGGAGAAGACAAGACTGCCACTACCCATGCTCTGCAGCCAAATAAAAAAGTTTCTTCACAATACAGCCTCTAACCAAGATAAAATAACCTAAGCTTAAGGACCAGTCATCATTTTGTGAGCTGCAACCAAAATGGTAGCAATTATTATATCAAGCCTTATCTTTCCTTTTTAATACCTTGCAGTCCGCCAGCTTCACCGGGAGTTCCTCAGAGCTGGATCAAATGTTTTGCAGACATTCACCTTTTATGCCAGTGAAGACAAACTAGAGAACCGGGGAAACTATGTAGCTGACAAAATATCTGTAAGTCATTTTTTTTTTATCACTGGCAAACTGTTTCTCTTCTGTGGCTTAAATGTAGAAATATTACTGATTCTTTTAACAGTCTGGTAGAACTGATTTGGCCATATTCAAGAAAATGGAAGTAAAAATTCCAGGGGAATGAAAAGATGTATATGATTGGGTGTCTGAAGAGGTAGGAAGGATATCTTCCTTACCATGGCAAACCAAAAAACTTGCAGACTGGGTGGTGAGGAAGGGGAGAGGAAATGAAGCCATGGTCATAATTTACTTTTCAATTTGAAGGGACTGTATTCAGGAATGAATGAACAAGTAGTAAAATTAGTTATTAAAGGGAATTCTTCAGCAACTGGAGGTACAGCCCAACTCCAGAAACCATAAAGAATCTTCAGAAGAACAGTACATGGATAGCAAATGCCACATGACATGAGTTTACAACACTGGAGCAGCCAGTAGATCCAAACTATTGATCTTGGTCCTAAATCTTGTCCTGCTATTGAGTACAGAGGGTCCTTGACATAAAAGAACAATGTTTTCAATGCATGACGGAGGAGGAAAAGGATATTGGGAGCTGTGTGCTCAGTAGGGTTCAGTGGGGGCTTCTGTAGAGCTATGCAGAACAAGTATTTTTCATAACCAGAAGATTTGCCATGGTGTGGCTCCTCTGATTTCTTCTCTCTAGCTTTAGGCAAGCCTTTGACAGATGGGGAGGATTTAACAAGGGACGGAAGAGCAAAAGATAAATCCGTTTATGCGTATACATGCAATTGCACAAGTTGGATAGTAGGACAGCTTTTGAAACTTGGAATAGATCCAATTTTCTGTCCTAAGAGGGTGGAAGCACTGGGCTCCAGTAATAGATCCTGTTGTAGCACAGTCACAGAGCATAGTTTAGACCAGGGGTGGGTAAAATGCAGCCCATGAGCTGGATATGGCCTGCCAGGCCATTCTATCCGGCCCGCGGGGCCGCTAAAAAATTTAGAAAATTAATATTTAGCTGCCCCTGGCTGCCTGTTATGTGGCCCTCGATGGCTTTCCAAAACTCAGTAAGCGGCTCTCCGCCTGAAATAATTGCCCACCCCTGGTTTAGATAATGATGTCCCAGTGTGTACCTTACATGCATGCACACACTTTTTACATCATTCATATGAGGTGAGTGAATTTGTATAAAGAGGATGAGTGCTTTTCTTATTTCTATAATGCCTCCATGCCTAGAAAAAAAATGTCACTAGTGCCCTGTCAATTTAACCCCCCTCTCCCTCCCTGCCACACGAACACATCTTTAGGTGTAAGTTATCATCACAAGTTCTGATTTTGCTAATTTAGGAGTCAAGGGAACTAGATTTTCAGTCTAGTTTGCTAATCATGCATGATGATACCTGTTTTTCCTTTAAACTCTTATGTTTAAATCAGGGGTGTCAAAAATCAGGCCAAAAGGCCATATTCAGCCTGTGGTGCTGAACCTGGGTCTCAGTTGATCCACATGCCACACATGGTGCATGCTGGACTAGTCTCACAAGCAGGGCCCAGGATGCATGTTGCACCTGGTGCCTGTTCCAGCCATTCTGGGATCTGTGCCATGTTCTCTGGTTGCTCTAGGATACATCCTGTACATTGTACCTGATCCAGCCAGTTGGGGACCTGTCCTGTACATTATGCCTTCAGACTATACATGTCTGCCCTGGGTGGACCACACTGAATGTGGTACCTATTCAGTCTGCTCTGGGCTCTTGTTGCACGTAGCAATCATTCCAGGTGGTCTGAGACCTGTGCTGTATACATTGTGAATCACAGAGCAGCAGCTGGAACTGGTGCCATCTGTGGTGGATCTGGTGGGGAGAGGAAGAGGGTGGAGGGAGTTCCATGGGCCTGATCTGGCCTGTGGACTTGGCCCCCTCATTGTTCATCTGGGCCCTGGGGCCAGATAAGTTTGACCCTTGGTTTAAATAATAACCTAACTTCATTGATGTTACAGTGCTATCATTAGTGCTCTCTTGTTAACATTTTCTTAAAATTTTACATCTCTATGTGCAAACTTCAGTTTAGTAATTTGTCAACTTTTCGAATGATAAATATAGCATGACTACAGATGAATAATCAATTAATCAAAACTTGGTTTTTATAAAAATTGCCCCCCAAGAAATAAAAAACCACATAATATAAATACATATTCATACCTATAACTGGTCAGCTGAGCTGCAGAGAAATATTGTTTAAAACCAAATATTTGCTTATTTTCCCACCCCCTCCAGAAGCAGAAAATACACAGGAGGCACTTTATATGTGGGTATAGTGAATATTATGTTGTTTCTATTCCATCATGATGAATGATTGTTGTATACTTAATGATGAAGGACAAGCTGTGAGAGTTGGAAAACACCAAGAGATTTTTACCTTACTGTGTGCTTTATATACAATTTTAACTTTAAAAACAAATCTTTAAATAGCTATGCTGTGTAACAATAAATGTGTAACCAGATAGGCACCTGATTTCCTAATGAGCTGTGGTGAAGTATGAAGAATCAGGATTTAGCAACATGTCAATAGTATGACCATCACAAGTATCTCTCTGTTAAATAGTTTCATAGTTTCATAGTTTCTAGGGTCGGAAGG